ATAGCGATATTTTGTTTTTATTTTGGCAAATTAGTTCATTATGCGTTGAGAACATAATTATACAATAATCCGTCTTTATATAAAGAGCGATGCAGCTGTTTACTAAAGGTGCAGTTAGGGTTACCATTTAGGAATTTCAAACGTCCTGACAAAAATCCTGACATTTCGAAAAAAGTCTAGACTTTTTAGTCACAAAATGGTACCATTACTCACTTAGTTACAATGGTATAAGTCTGGTTGTAGTTGTAGTATTATTGCATTGTTACGCTCTGTTTTCTTAACATAGTTAAATACCCCAACATAGAACATATTGACAAATGGTTTTTATATTAAAAAGGTGAAAAACAAGCATTACTATGCATGACTCACATAATGGCAAAGGAATTCACACGTGAATTCAGAAAATATTAACGCTGCAGTAACAAGTGAACGTCACGTATGCAATTTAACGGTAAGGCATAGGGTTACCACCTTTTTTTCTATTAAATATAGTATTTTCGAAGCTGTTACCTCTTAAACATATAGTAGATGACTAAAAAATGGGAAAAAATCTAGTATGTGGTTAAAATATTTACATTATTTTTGAAATAGGTACCTTAATGCTGCTCTATACTTCAGTTTTTATTTTAAGAAAGCTTTTACTGCCAAAAGTTTGCTTTAAGCAAAATATAGTAGTTTTGTCTACTATATATATTTTTTAAAAATATGTAAAGTATTTGTTCCCCTAATATAGTAGAGTCTGTGCGGAAAGAGACTGGGATTTAGATTGGAGGGCGCTGTAGTGCTTTTCTACCGTATTTGTAAGGTTTTACCCCTTTTAGACATGATTAAATACAAATAACCGCAAGAAATCAACAACAAACAAATCCGTATCAATACAAAACTTTGACGTTTTACAGATTGCTGGGTTTGATTGCCAAATAAAAATCTTAATGTTAGTTTTTCGCCACGCCCATTCTCGAGGATCCTATATTATATCATAGGGTTGGCAACCCTAGTAAGGCATCCGTGTGCCTAGCGACCGTGACTGGAAAGTCACAGGTCGGGAGTTCGTATACTGAAAGCAAGTGATACTTGTGATAAATAATATTACGGAATAAATTAATCCCTTAGATAAGATGTATTATTGACTCAGTTGCGGATGTTTATCAACACATTTCTTAGTTGTTTAGTATTAATTAGATAAGAATTCTACTCAGGGATGATCTAGTTAATATTAGGGTCCCTTACCCAAAGTATGACAAATAGAACCCAATTGACATGGATCCACTATCTGTCACAGACCTTTATTTGTTGGACGGATAGGCACACTTGAAATATACTCGCCATAAATTATCGTCTACATCGGTCGATTTGAGACTCCTGCATTTTAAAGTCGTTTAAAAAATAGGTGGACAGATTAATTTATTAATAAATTAAGATGAATTATAATGATACTATTTATTATCATTTTTTTGGCTGCATTGTAAAGAACGATTCAGTATCTATATTTTGAAGCAAGGCTATAAACCACTGGGACTGAAAAATTTTTAAAGAGGTAGGAAAAGAAGCGTATTGTCAGCCTGTTTGTAAGCGGACACGGTAGCCTATTCTATATAGGATTAGATATAGGACGCTGCGATTCCAAAATATAACTCGCATCGTTGCTTACCCTGACCCAATCCATGGGGTAGGCCCATGGAGCCCTGGAACCTTACTCACTGACAGAAACACAACACCACCAAAAGGTAGCGTTATTTTACTGTGATCAGTACCCTTAGCACGAACCAATATCGAATTCGTAACGTTTGCGAGTCCAAAATGTCATTGTCAGATGTGTACTGATTTTTATTTCTCGTTACATACTTTGTTGCGCTGCTGTTCGCACTCGTGAACTATTCGAATTCGATATTGATTCGTGCTAAGGGTACTGTAAGGTGAGAGGTTACTTTCTCAGACGGGCGCTCCAATCGAAGCAGTAAATCCGCGATGCCCTACCTCTCTTAATGACGAATAATGCCCAAAAATACCACAACTCTGTGTGGACACATTTTATGGATATTAAAACAAAAGCTATCTGTGTGTGTGAAGAGTCTAAAACTTAAGCTAATGCGGCTTCCATTGTCAATAAGTAGACCGTATTATATTGGTTTATTTTTAATTGCGTTGCGATGTTTATTGATAGTTGATACCGCTAAGACTCTTATTTATAAATAGAGTCCACGAGTTTGTATGACCTGTCGAGTTGGGTTCGATGGCCGGATATTAAGTTTTAATCTTTGGTAGGTGTTGTAATCCACGGATTGGCACCATTATAGTTCGTTTTTATCCATAAGAATTTGTAGGAAGTGAAATTTTTAAATACGACTGGAACGTATCGAGAAATAAATCCAATTTCATCAGGTGAAGTATTTTCTTCCGGTGTCATGTGTCTGGAAAGTAACGCCAAATTATTTGAATCTCTATCTATCTATTATTAATTCTAGTTCTATTCGATAATAGAATATCTATTGTATTGTTAGTTCCCAATATTGACATTGATTTACTGTCTAGCTAAATACACGGGAAGAGGTTTTGATTAACTCAGAAACCCTTCTGAAAAGATAATAAAATAAGTGATGCTATCATTTACATATTACCTTTAATAGTTTTCAGAGGACTAAGTCAATAAACCTTTATGTTGGTTTAACCTTACCCATGGTAACTCGTTTAAAACTTACATATGTTACAACCTCAGAATACAGAAGGTTACAACTTGTTTTCTCGCCTGATAACAAAGGGGTATGTGGAAATTGTCCATGCTGATTGTGAACAATGCTATCACTATGCCACGAGGTACATTCCTAGCTACATACGGTTGTCCCTCAACAATTTACATAACAACACATCAATGGCGCTGTATATGAAATCAACTATGCCAGATGTCACAGTGTAAACATGGCGAGTGTTACCGTGCGAGTTTCATTTGTCACGTCAGGCCTTTGTTTTTAATAAACTTGTACTTTTACGGCCACACTCAGAATAATTTACTTTCAAGTTTGAATAAAGTAGGAGCTGTCACTTTCTTTGCGATAACAATAGGATGAGACAACATGTGATTCATAGTGTCGGCCAGACTTGCGGGCTGGCCCAATGGCTGCTCGGGGGGCCTACTCACTAAAAACCCAACGATGCTCCTACGCGTCGCAAAAATGGAGGCAAACCATATTTTACTCTTATAACTCTACTACAGATGATGTATATACAAGCCCACAACCTGAAGGAATAAACGTTTATTTGCATGTTTAGTTAGGCAACAGTCACCCATAAAGTTCAACCCTGTTATGTACCACAAAGTAATTAAGCACCGCGCCCAATTAATTTTACCCTGTCACCACAAAATACGTGCCGGGCGGTAATCATGCAGATAGTCAGCTCGAATCAAAGCTTCATTTCCCTAGCGCACACATTGACGTTATGATCGGCAGTGCTATCTGTAAAATTTTCTTGCGCGGATCCGATGTGGATTCGCGCGGTTCCGATATAAATCCGCGCACATCGGATCCGCGCGTGAAAATTTTACAGAATAGAACTTCTGAGGGCCAATCGCCTAATGAGATTGCTATGGCTATCGCTATCGCTTACGATTTCACTTTGTTATTTCTGACCGCCTGTTGTTTTCAACTGCCTCACGCACATTTTATTTAATATTATTATTATTATTAATGCAAAAGAAAAAAAACAGCGCAAGGCATTTGAAAATAAAATGAAATCGTATGCGATAGCGATAGCCATAGCAATCCCATTAGGCGATTGGCCACCTGTACTAATTCGGCATTACTCGTCGTGTCCTACGCATGAGTCTTCGAGCTGTGAGTTTTGCTGTCCACAAGTTGATTCTAACTCACTTTAGAATAAAACTATCGAATTATACCGTATGTGAGTACATACCATTATATTTACAGGCGTTCTCACTCCGTTTCTAGCAAAATTTATTAGCGACTAGCAATACGTATTGTTAAAATTAATAGGGATATGTATTTGTTTCTTAGGTTTTCACGCACATCACTCATTAAATAAAACTAGTTTTTCACGGGTTAATGCACGAAACTTTATTTATTTATTGACGTTTCGAGGGATATGTAATTATTTTCGAGTATGTAGACGTCCCGCTGCCTTCTCCCATGCGATCTCCCGTAATGGACTGGGAACTGTGTACGTGGAATGCGCCAAGCTGGAACACTACTTTTAAGAACAAATGAAATATATAGTAAAATTATATGAAACTAAAATTATCTACTGAAGTTTCGGGAAACGTAGCAGTAAAGGTATGTACCTATTGGCCTATTTAAACAGTTCTTTGATGCACTGCCAATACATTTCGTATAAAATCGGATTTCACTTACCTATCGAAAACGATTTCAAAATCCGTTTTTAGCAATCGTATTTCAGCAACGTAGCCCGCAGCTCTTGTTGTATTTCGAATGATTACGTGCTTCCACTAGTCAGATTTAGATTTGTTATTAGTAAATCGATCAGTATTTGCAACGACAAACGTGCAGTGGGTTGAGAGATGGAACGAACCAGAAGGACCAAGGTTATATATATCTCGCCCTATCACCGAAAATAAATTCCCTATTTAAACTCGAAGATGAAATACGATCGTACTCAGTGAAGTAGCATCATTGTACGATTTACACGGTCATATGAATAGACTAGCGGCCGCCCGCGACTTTGTACGCGTGGAGTTAGTTAGAAATAAAGGTTCACTGCTCGTTCCCCGCGTGATAGCGTAGCCTTTATATTGACCCGACTTCTTAATAATATTCATGCCAAATTTGAAGTAAATCCATGCAGTACTTTTGAGTTTATCCCGGACATACATACAGACAAAAATTCTAAAATACATATTTTTGGCTTCGGTATCATGGTAGATCACACCCCAAGTATTCTTTTAAAATAAAATCAATGTACAGTTCTGACTTTTCTACCATTTTATTATATGTATAGATATTATTAAGTACCATCTTTGGTCAACGCCCAGACACAAAGCTGACGGGTCTGTAAAACACTAACATGAACTTTTGTCATCCATGGTGCGTCCCTGAGTGATAATTTCTTAATATCACGGCTCCATCTTGAGATCTGTCTATGCAGGAGACCTGCGTCCACCAGCCAGAACATGCCTATGCTGGTAAAGAAAAAATGCAATTTTACCACTTTTTTTAAAGAATATGAACCTTGCATTGTTTTAGATAAAATCTAAAAGCGAGATATTCTTATTCATTGTTTGTAGTAAACTGATGCGCACTGGCCGTTTCTTATTTCACCTTTGTAATTATAAAGATAACCTGAAATTTAATCTAACAAGCCACTTCTAAGCATGACACACGCACTCCTTAAATGGTAACAAGAATAATTATAAGAGAACTCGTTTTAGTTTTAAATTGGTACCGCTATGCGGACGGTTGTTATGAAATAGTACACTGCCGACCGCTTTGTTATGGTCCGATCCTTGCTCTTGACATACGGTCACTTGGCACGCATATTAATAGATCAACTGATTCACAACTCTTTAGTTACCACGAGGCACTTTGGAGGGGCGAACGTGCGATATGCGATCGCCAAAACTTCCCTTGTTTCGAAAGGAAATGAGGGAACTGTTAAAAGTGTGGTTTGTGACGTCTGAGTGCACGGAGATGTAGCAGTGATAATATGGTTGTCTGTGGAATGTCCCATCGGCGAGTGCGCATAGGCAAGTGATGCATGCTCTTTTATTACTTGAAGATATAAGTTATCATACTTTTATTTTAAAGTACACCTGTCATTTAGTGAAGACACTAAATATTAAGTGTATGAAAGCTAAAGATATGCTATGAATAGGTATGAAAGCTAAAGACACCTGTTAATCCTTAAACTATAATAATGAGTACATAAATAAAACAGTATCAATAATATTTACACCTTTACTATACTTAGTAAAGTCATTCTAATCCCAAAAGTTAAGTAGCTGAAGTTAGCTTAACTATACATCTACAAATATGAATGCAAGCTTCTTTGAAATGCTTTTTATACGGTTTAAACTTTTTGTTGTAAAACCTCTTTCGAATGGAAAAACTTTCTCCCAGTGAGTTTCAAAACAAGAGTAAGGATGAAAGCTTGTTTTATGGCGAATCTATAGATCGATCGAATCGTTTTTAAATATGGTTTAACACTGAAGATACTAGAAAGGAAAAGATTTATGCTGTTTAATACTTAAGTGACGCACGCCATACGTGATAGTAATTAAAATGCAGCCTTAGAATAATTACACCGCAGCACATACCATGCCGTCTCGGAAATACGATTGTTAAATTATGATGTAAGCAACACCTCCACGGTTAGTTTGTTTTATTTTATAACTACTATCTTAACACAGCATGCAGGTTCGCGTAGATTTTAAAATTGGAATGGTGTATGTTATACGATGTATGTTCTTATCCACGTTTGAGAATGTGAGATAGTCCACGTCTCGATTACACTAAGTCCGTTTAGTTGTTTTAACGAGACAGTTTCAAAAGTTCAAATTAAGGAAATAGAAAAGTAGAAATGTGTACTGTGTAATAATTTGAGTGATATATTATGAAAAGATTTTAGTTTGAATATTCAGTGAGAAAACTTTGCAAACTATATACACAGCTACAACCCAAGGTTCTCATAGGTTTTCTAGAGCGTATCCTGTATCTGTATTTAAACGTACTTAATAAGCAGTTTCAGTTGCATAGGCTAGTACTGTAGGTACTTGGTCGGTAGGTAGCTCGAATGGCATAGTTCGAATACCGCGATTATCTCGGATCAATTGACGGCGGGCACCGGCACACAACCGGTTCCGTGTCTGGGGAGACCTTGCCGATGTTTTAATATTATCGTTCCGTTGCTAGTATGAACTGTGTCTTATTTGGGTTACCCGAAGATGATTTGCGTTTCTTCTATTCTTATACAAGCCTAACCTAACCTAACACCCCTCTGAATCTAAAGTAAATTGAACCAGAAATCTTTCTACTCAGTCCAAGTTTTGACGAGATTCAAACCCGTATTTTCCGCTACCCGCTATGTGGTTTAGTGCGTCCGCCCGGATTGTGGATGATGCGGGTTGGAAACTCGTCTGAAAGCAAGTTCGAGTAAAAAATTTGCTAGTTAGATTTTCTTTAGATTTAAACATCTAGCAGTTAAATGCTTAAAAATAAAAATATTTTACGGTAGTTAGGGTTAAATAAATAAACTCAAAATTACAAAAAAGAATTTTAAATAAAGTATTTTATTAACTAAATTAACTAATAAATTCATACATAGACAATAAAGTTTTAAAAATCTTCCAATGAAAGTAAATAAAAAATCGTTATTCTGACGATGCAGACCTGAAAAGGCTGAGAAACGTCAATAAATAAATAAAGTTCGTGCATTAACCCGTTAAAACTAGTTTTGTATAATATTATAACCCCTCGGAATTTTGGGGTCCGTTGTTGGTATGAGCAGTGTCTTGTTTGGATTATCAAATGATTTACGGTTTCATACTTCTTCTTCTTTTTGCAAAATGGCTGTCACTTTTGTGGACTTCGTAGGACTTGAGTGATTGGGCTTGGAGACACCTAACAAGTGAGAACGCGCCACCGAAATCCAAGAACAATATCGTTCCACATGCATATGCAATTTAGCTATTGCCACAAATACCTCATTAGCCTATAATCCCCACTATTCAGGTATAGATAGGCCTTTCCTATTGATGGAAAAGGAGAGCAGGGATCATGACTTACTTGTTTTCTTTATTCATGGTAGATTTATCAAAAAGTATTGAACACCTTTTGTTTTTTTTTCACAAAATAAAAAAAAACATTGCAGAGGCATGCGTCATTATCGTTTTTTTTTGAGAATCCCACAAGCACCTAACATTTTTTTCAATTCAGTCCAGGTAATCAATAAACAACATATATGTGTACTTACCAAATTTCATCCAAATCCGTTCAGCCGTTTTTGCGTGATTGAGTACCAAACATACAAACTTTCACATTTATAATATTAGTAGGATTTGAGGCTGACGATAAAGTAGGTGTTTGAATCTGGTTTCTTTCTACCAACTAAAACCCATTTTGTAAATCTAATATCAGACACTAAATACCTTTTTTGAACATTTAGAAAAAAACATTAATATTTTTTTGTTTAAACAAAAAATATCAAAATGATCGTAGTGCCTTTACTTAAAGAAGATGAACGCTTAAGCTTTGTTTGCATAGATAAGCGGTATCAGTTATTTATATCGTGCAAACAGTGAGATACTGAATTGACGTCATATAGCGCTCTTTCAGATAGAAATGTAGATACATATGTATACCTGAACGGGATTATTTCAAAACACCAGTAGCTGTTAGTCTTTATCTGAAGAAGTATAAAAATAGCAGCAAATATACGTATATATACGTATTTTTTATAAAAAAAACATCCAAAGAGATAACGTGTCAAGAAAGGTGCGAACACATAATGATTGATAGGAAATATAACGTTATAACAAAACGGTATAATTTCGCATATTTTGAACAAACTACATATTTTTTGTACAGTCCGGAGGGCCCGTTGAGTCTGAATTTCAAATAGTTTACAATCAAAACCGCCTAAAACAGTGTTAAAATTACTAAATTTATAAATTAAAAACCATGCAAAATCTTGGTATGTCGTCATTCAGTTTCATACAGCTCCTGTTAAAATTACATATACCGTTTTGTTAGCTAACTCCTCAATTTATTAACAACAAAAAAAGCGAAGTAAATAAATATTACTTTTGGTTACGCTATAATTCAAGAACGACATTTCCTAATTTCATCCACTCTTTTTTTCTAAAGTTTGGTCAAGTTTTATTTTAAGTTATAGCTAAGAACATAAATGTTGTAGCTTTGGTATAGAATCGATGTTTTATCACTGAATTTACTTGCTGCGGTGACTACCTTCAGAAAAAAAACCTAATAAATAATTGTATAAGATTAATGCAGCTAAGAACCAGTTTAACGGTACAAAATGTATGATGATCCATCACGTAAGCAACCGCAAGCCCTGCAAAGCTTCCTCCGATCCCGCAATATTCAACAAGAGTTGTAAACAAAGCTTACAAAAATATCCGAAAGGTTCTCTATTTATATAACGCGAAGCCGGCGTTTCTATTGCCAAACGAACGTTCAGTTTAAACGAGCATGCTTGCCAATTCTTTATTATAATAACACTTTTTGGATGTGTTTTATTTCATCAGAATGACAAAAAATGTTACACCTGTCCAAATTATGTATTATAAATCTTAAATCCATAACTACATTTAGAATGTCTAATATTTCATCGTATATAGGTAAACATTACCTCAGCTCAAAGTGGGTGCTATAAATTTGAAATCCTTTGTCACTGTTATTGTATAAAATCAATATTAAACGTAATATAGTAGGCGTTGATATTTACTGTAGAATTAATATCCCACATAAAATAATTTAGCACTGTAAATTCTCTTAAGAAGCTCCATTACCTAAAGAATAGTCTGAAAGGAGAAAGAACAAAGATTGTGATGACATTTTTTACTAAAAATAGTAACGCATCATTCTATCTCTAGAAGTTCTTATCTTAATACCTACTAGTTGTATTACAATACGGTAGGGAATGCAATCTCGCGAGATTGGGGCTCAGACGAGATCTCGCGAGTTTATGGATAACAATACCGCGAGATCTCGCCAATTTCGAGATCTCGCGAGATTTTTGCAAATATTTACGATATTTGGATGAATTAGGAAAAAATGAAGAAGAATTAGAGGTATCATGAAATAAACATTTATTTAGAAGCATTTTTAATATAAACTTAGGTCATATTTAAAATTTTTAGACATATCTATCATTTTTCGTAATAAACTTTTAAGTAGTTAACTTTGACGTACGTACTACGTACGTATCTAATCAAATAAAAAACGAAATAAAAAAGAATCTTCTCTTCTTACATGAAACAAAAGTATTTTAATAATTAAACAATACTTTTATAACAAATAATGACAAATAACAAATAATGAGTTGAATATTAAACTAAGTTTCTAAGATATCAAATAAAGAAAACTATGCCTACTCTACTCAGTCAGACAGAGATCAATTGTAAATTAGAGATCAATTAAAAATATATACCAATCAAATGAAAGGCTCAGACAATCAGTTGATCAGTTCACATCACATTATATCGAATGATTTTGGAAGTAGCTCCTTAAGAAGCATAAAATGTCCAGAGAATCGTCTGCTAGACGGCTTCTTATTTTGCTGGCCAGATAACCAGCCGCAGAAAAAGCCCTTTCGGATTCTACGCTCGTGGGAACAACAGATCTCAGGCAGTTATCCGCGAACTGTAAAAGTTCGCCTTTTGACCCCCCGGATTCGTATAAATTCATCTCCTTTTTTATTAATGATTCCAGTGAGTTTGTAGTAAGCTTTCTGTCCCTATCTCTTGGTTCTTTGAACGCAGTCAATGTTTCTTGTAGTTCTTCTTCCAAGGAAATATTTTTACGAGCCTCAGAAAGAGATGAAAGCGGTTCATTATCGTTATAGTCATCATCAAATTCAATAACATCACTAGCGGCGGCAGCTGATGTTGATGCGATCGACCATGATGGATCTGAATTTATCTGTGTCTGTGAATTAGTAACACAGTGTTGCGAATGCAAGCGCTCTATAAGTGATTTAATTTCAGTTCGAATCACGTTTTTCGCA